TTTTTATAATTTTATTTATACAATAATACGGGTCAAATCGAAACAAATCGTGACCCGTGCAACCCGTGACCCGCATGGGCTCGACCCGGATGAGTCAGCGGGTGGGCCTAAGTTGTATTCCAAAATTTGTAAGTCGACTGGAACTCGTAGCGAGTGGGCTTTTTTTCACGCGGGTCGTTACCGGGCTCATATGTTGGTGGACCGACTCGGCCCGGACCACCCGGATTGACACCTGTACCCCACCCCAATGAGAAAAAGAAATATCTTAAAAGAAATGCAACCTCCTTCGGCCACTATGCTTAATTCCATGTTATCATCACAATGAAAAGCACTTTAAGCAAAGACAATAGGCCATAATAGCATAATTATGTAGGCGAACAGGCATTTTGGCCGGACAAAAGGCCCAAGGACTTTCTCTAAAAGCCCTTTGCAATGCTGACTAAGCTCAACAAGCCAAACCAAGTTGTGATCAACAGATACCGAATTAGAGAAGCTGAACACGGACTCTCAAAATTAAAATGCTAAGTTGTATTTGCATAAAAAAATATTCATTTTTGATTTACAAATTACAGGACATGCTTGACTTTAAATTAATGTGAGCATATGATGTGGATAACTTAAAAAGTTAAATCACATGTTTACACTAAAATTTCCACAAAATGCAAAGGACGTCGTATTAATTCCTGGAGAGAAGAATCAGAATAAACATAAGCTATGGGTTCAACTCGTTGGTATGAACATCACGTAGCCCAATATACAGATACACGTGATACAGGGTTCATGTAGCAATCTCCTGCAGTGAGACAAACTCAATTCAGTTGAGCTACATTCGGGTGAATCTATACCAGCTATGATTTTAACGAGATGTAAGGACATCACAAAATTTCCTGGAGAGAAAATGAGAATAAACAGGAGATATATGTTTATTCATTGATATGAATGTCACATAACCAGAGACACAGCTGAATAAGAGATCAGGGTTCCTATAGAAATCTACTTTAGCACAGGAACTTGAAGAATGTATCACAACGGTAATGCAGGAAAATGCATTTCAGCCAAATGTTAATATCCATCTCATATGCTTATGACCAGCTAAAGGGACAAGAATAAACAATTCAAGAATAAAAAAGATCTAGAACTTCCAAATTACCCACTTGAAATATAACATGGGAAAAAGATGGATGGTTACCAAACTTAAACAGATAAAACATAACTCACATGTACACAAACATGGATAGAAGTAGATAGACAGAAATAAAGTTATGCAGGACTTAGGGGTGCGGCAGTTTGAGCACTTCATAGCATGTCTTTACATGTAAGTTATGCCTAGTTTTTTTTTTTTTTTTTTTTTTTTAAAGTTTGCTAACCATTCCTCTCTTTCCTATACAAAATGAAATTCTCTTTTACTTAAATTCTTTGGCTCTTGAGCTTGACGAAGCTTTATTTTCTGAACAATTTAAGATTAAGGGAAAAGAGATTATGTCGTCTGTTAAAAGCTCAAGAAAATACAAACTATAGAAGGCTCAATGTTTGGAATTAGGATTTTGTCCTAGTCCAGCCAAATATGGAGCTTGATAACTGTTATTTAGCTGTTTACAGGCCTTAATCTATGTTTTAACTTGCTTTTATAAGCTCCAGTACTAGTTTCAGCAGTTCTAACTAATTTAGTCAAGTCATGATTATTTCATGAATTTCCATAATTGCAGATTGCTTCTAGTTAGTCTTTTTTTGGATCGTTTATGTAACATTCCGAATTTTAATTATATTTTTATATGAGCCAAATTTAAGATTGGAGATTTAGCAAATGAATAGTTCATGTCTAGCCTTGTCGTCACACTAAAGTCCAAAAGTTTAAGTGACAAACACGACCCACTTATTTACATAAATGATTTATTTTGCTTATGTATACTTTTTAGAATTTATCGTAAGTTATTTGGGTCGAATATTTAAGTATTTCAGATGTCGATAAAAATATATCAATATTATACTCACTTTGTAACTCGTGCTAAATAACATAAATTGGCTCAAGAAGAAATAATTTTGGAATAATCATATTTGAATTATTTTGATAGAAAGAAAAGTAATCTAAATCCCATATTTTATGAATAAAAAAATAATTATATATAGATATAGAAAATAATAAATTGAAACGTCACTTCAGGTACGTTTCTTAGAATTTGAAAACCATAAATCATTCATTTTTATATAATAAATTCATTTAATTAATTTTTTTTACTCCAACACTTAACCGTCCCATGATTGATTGGAATGTCCACCATGATTGATTTGAAATAAAGAATAAATTAATTAACGTGTTGAATTTTCAAACCAAAAGTGTGAGCATTTGAATTTCTAATAATTAATAAATTGGTAAACTAATACAAGTGGATATTATATATATAAAATGTGTGAGTAGTGTTTTTTCTTACCTATAATTTTCACACTTTAACACAAGCTTATTTTATTTTATTTCATCATCAACATTCAAAATTTCACAAATTGGGTTTCATTCTTTTACAAACATTCTGTCCGTTTTTAATTATTGTCTCAAGGAATATTTTCAAAATTTTTGATATCAATTGAGGTAAGAATACATACTGCAAAAGTGGTAAATTCTTATTTTCTTGATGTTTATATAAATTTTTGGCATGAAATATTTAAGGCCTTCAGGTCGATTTCTATGTTAAATCCTTCGGGATGGACCGTTAGGTCAATATGTTAAATCCTACAGGATATGAAAATTCTTGAGAAATTCCTTTAGCTATTAGATATTGCGACCAGTTTGCTCTAAATCTAAGAATGTTGGTATGTTATGTCATTTTTATATTTATATCATGTTAATAATAATATGCGCGTATTTTTATTGAGTGTTTTTANTGCATGTTATTTTAGTAGTTTTGATGTTCGAACCTTGATATCCCATGTTAGATTAAATTTTACAAATTTAACATTTTCGTATTTAAGATTTAATTATATATATAATTTCTTGTTTAAATTATTGAATTTAAAATTTATTGATCAAATCACAATATTTATATTATATTGTTAAATTCAGAATAAATTAGATAAGAAAGATTTTGGTAACATTACAAATCCAAATTTTTAATAAAAAAATATATATATGTAGTAGATTTGGGGCCTTACTCCTTAAATTTTTGTAATATTATGATTTCAAAGTTGAGTTCTAATAAGTAGTCTTATGTTAGCCTTGAGGGATTGCTCAATTGGTCATACCTTGGGTTTGCTCCCCAATGGTCACCAGTTCGAATCATCTCGGAGCCACTGAGGTGAGTACCCTGCCGTAAACTTCAGGTTCCGTGGGATTAGTCAAGTTGAGCGTAAGTTGGCCCGAACATCTACGGTTATAAAAAAAAATAGTCTTATGTTGCTCTACAATGTTGAGTCCCGCTTCCAAATATCTTGCAGCTTATAAATAGACAGGCACCTTGATGCCGCGTCCAACATCCAAATATCTTGCAGCTTATAAATAGACACGCACCTTAGATATTCAAATACAACCAAATAATTACATTTTTGGCTTTTTACACAACTCCTAAGTTTTCTTGATTGTATGATACCTTCAGGGACTACAGAAATGATTCTTTCGTTTCTTGCTATTCTAAACTTTTTGATAGTTTATTTCATGCTCAGGGCCTGGAACCAGTCAAATATGATTCTGGAATACAAAAATTCAAGTTAAAGTTAACCAGTTACTTTGATAGACTCCTATCAAGCTCTTGAAGGATCCAGAAGAATTGAGAAGCAAATTAATAGTAACAAATTCTGTTAGATTTGGTTAAAAATGCTTATAAATAGAGAAGACATAGGATGTATTAAGGGGGGAATATTCAGTAGTTTGTTGTGTCAATTAGGAGAGCTCCAAGCCTCTTGAAATGCCTTGGGAATCTGTTTACTTCAATTCTCATTTCCTTGAATAATAGCATCAGTTCTCGTTCTGTCTTCTGCATTATTCAGTCACTGTGTTTACAGCACTGCAGTTCAATTACGTACCATCTTTCTGCCCTATTGATATCCCTATAACTTCACTTTGCAGGTTGACAGATCGTAGCAGGTATCTATCAAAATGGTATCAGAGCCTCGGAACAGGGACATTACATCGGAGGAAGAAAAGCAATTAGAAGATCGAGTTAATAATCTGGAAGGAAGAATTGAAAGAATGAATTCAGAAATATGTGAGAGAACAGGAGCCATGAAAATTGAGTTCCAGAGAGGAATGGCAGTAATGATGGAAAAGCTCGATTGGATGATGAAAAATGGGATGGGCAAGAGGACAGGACGGAATAAGGGCCGGTAGGTGCCTCGCCGGAAGCTTCCTTCAATTCTGAAATTCCACCCAAATCTGAGGAAATTGGAGCAAGTATAGACGGCCGGAACTTCCATGTGGTAGTCGCAGGGAAGATGGAGACGCATAGCCCTATACTGGACAGATTATTGGAGAACTTATCAACACCATTGCCGGCGATTTCAGAGGAAATTTTGGAAGGGAAGGGCATCAATGGGTACAAGTCACTAATACGGCTGAATTCCCAATGCTTATGCCTCAAGGTTTGGGCCAAATCAAGGTGTTAGCCAAAAGGGTAGAAGACAGGCATGAGTCATTGAAAAGGGCACAATCTATTGCCAGCCCATATAGATATAAAAGTAATGTCCATAGCCCCATTATTCCCAATCATTCCAGCCCAAATTAAACCCCAACCCAAATTGCAGTTCTTCCCAGACATCTTATCATTCCCAGCAGGCCCCCAATACCACCCAGAACTCTACTGCCATTACGATGATGAGTCCGATTGCAACAGCAAAAGGAGTTCCTCCAATTAAGGAGAATCGATGTACAAGAGGTTCACACCTTGGTAATCTGTGATTCGATGGCCGAAATAGGGAAAGATGAGGCTCAGGGAATTGTAGGGCTACACAAAGCAGTAAAAACTCACTCAATTGGAATGTGAGTCGCACGGCTCCGAAGATTATGGGGATTAACGGACCGATTAAGCAACCTAATTTTGTTGTTCTGTTTGATCATAGGGCAGCCCTCTATGTTATTCAAAATAACCAGACTCAAACTACAGGAATTCCTTCTGTAGGTCCAACTGGCTATGGAATTTGTATGGAAAACATCCTAATTGTATGTGGTCGGTGCCAGAACTCTTATTCCACTGTGTTTCGAATGAAAGATCCCATTTTGGCATTTGCCTCGGCAGGAATTCTTGCCAAAAAATGGTTGGAATCCGGAATTTTGAAGTTGGACCACATTTCCACCTTGAGGACAAGGTGGATTTTGGGGCGGAAGGTAATAATAGACCCCTATCAAGCTCTAGAAGGACCCAGAAGAATTGAGGAGCAGGTAATGGTAACAAATTCTGTTAGATTTGGTTTGAAAATACTTATAAATAGGGAAGAGGTAGGATGTATTAAGGGGAGGAATATTCAGTAATTTGTTGAGTCAATTAGGAGAGCTCCAGGCCTCTCGAAATGCCTTGGAAATCTGTTTGTTTTAATTCTCATTTCCTTGACTGATAGCAACAGTTTTCCTCTCGAAATGCCTTGGAAATCTGTTTATTTTAATTCTCATTTCCTTGACTGATAGCATCAGTTCTTGTTCTGTCTTCTGCATTATTCAGTCACTCTCTGTTTACAGCACTGCAGTTCAATTACATACCATTTTTCTGCCCTATTGATATCCCTATAACTTCACTTTGCTGGTTGACAGATCGTAGCAGAAGCAATCTACAGCCGCAGGGAACAGAAACATCAGGTTTCTCAGCATCAATAGCAGGTATCTATCATTCTTCCTTAAAACATTTAACCAAGCAGCTTTCAAACCCTTAGTACTGCCCACGATACTGTTACTGATTTGAACAGAATCGTAACAAAATCAGGAAGCCTTAGCTTTTTTCTCTAAAATAATCCCAGTTGTTACTGTTCATCCTACTAACTTAATCAAATTTGAGTTTGTAATGCCTCGTGATTCTATTTCATTTTGGTAGAACCAAGATCCAAGAGTAACTGCTTTTTTGTCTGCTATGCAGGGGAAAAAAAACAGAAACTCAATGCAATGTAAGCAAATCTGGTAACAGATATTAACAAAAACGTAAATATAAATAATATAACACCATTATGCTATTAGCAAATTACGATTAAAATACAACTGCTATCATATAAAGGTATTTGGTATGAACACGTCTTGAGCAAAATGTGTAACTTACATTAAGGTGGTAGGCAGGGAAAACCTTACTTAAACAGAAACTCAATGCAATGTAAGCAAATCTGGTAACAGATATTAACAAAAACGTAAATATAAATAATATAACACCATTATGCTATTAGCAAATTACGATTAAAATACAACTGCTATCATATAAAGGTATTTGGTATGAACACGTCTTGAGCAAAATGTGTAACTTACATTAAGGTGGTAGGCAGGGAAAACCTTACTTAACAGTAGATATAATGGAGATAGTAGAGGGGAATATTGTTTTGGAAAAAAATTAGCAATGGTCATAGAGAAGAGAAGCAAGGACAAGAAAGATTACCCTGTATGTGTGCTCATGTGATCTTTTGTTTGTGGTTTCCAATATTATTGAGGGGAAGATGCCAGGGGGAACTGATACAAAGAGAGTAGCAGAATGAATTTAAGGATTTCTCTACCCCCTTTATGAATGGTAAAGTGTTTCCATACTTGTATCAAAGGATTTACCTCCATAATCACCTCATAGTATGTGGACAAGTCTATGAACACTTCTATGTATCTATTGGTTGCAATTTGTGCCCCCATTGAATTTTAATCACTCAAGAGGAAAACAAATATAATCTGATGATTTGACACATCACTCAAGAGCCATATTTTATTAAGAACGTAAACAAAAGTACAAACTTTGGACTTGAAACAGACCTGAATTTGCTGGATGCCTGTCAAATCCTTGCAGAATTCACTGAGGAGCTGGTTGCATGTGGGCCGCACATATGATTGAAAACAAGCTTCCAACTGTCCAGTAAGGCTGTTCACTATTACAGATGGAAACTCAATTATCTCTTGAGGATGGGGAATTTTTTCTCTGTCGCATGTTGCCTCAAAATCAATGACGATAAAATATTGAAAATCTTGAATCTGGTAATCATATGGATAATTTTGAGGAAACGCATTTGATGGAGTATACTGGAATCTGTGATTTACTGAAAAACGGTGAAATTGATCCTCAGAGGCATTCAGCTGACGTGGCGGCATGTTACTTGAAACAGGATAGAAAGCAGCCCATGAACCTAAGTTGTGATGGTATATTGGCCACTTTTGAGATTCTTTCTGAAATTCAAGAGAATCTCTACTTAATGAGAGATTTAATTCAGTTGCATTCCCATGTGGATGAGCAAGGAGGCTATCTCCGAGCTTCGAAAATCCTTCACCGGAGGTGCCATTGTAATGCAGATCGCAAGGGAAAACCTTGCTCCGGAGGCACTTTATGGGTGCCTCAGAGTTCTTTTGCCCAGTATCTGCAATTAATAAAATAGAAAAACAAAATTAAGCCAGCTTTATCACACGTTTGATAGGGTTTTAAACTAGAGAATCTAGGAACCCATCTCCAAGGCAAGCCCAACAACTAGATTAAAGCCCTGTTTGGCCCCCATTATTTCAAATTATAATTTTTGGAATAATATTTTTTTGGAGAATGTGTAATTGAAAAAGAAGGAAAAAATTTTGGTTTATGTGTAATACTATTTTATGGAAGATTGTGTTGTTAAAAATAAAAAAGACAAGAATAAATTTATGATTCGGGGGCTAAATTTAAATTTATTTTGATAAATTTAATCTAGTTGTTTGGTCCAAAAAAACTTGAATTAATCTTGAACATTCTATTCATGCTTAAATTCCGTAGAGTTGTAATTTGCTGAGCTATACAATAGAGGGAGGAAAGTTTCAATCAAACATCAATGATATTCATAAAGCACATAAAAACTTTCTGAAATTCCAAGAATATGAATTAAGACAAATATCATATGATGATGATTATACACATGGATTGGGTACTTTTTTACGGCTTCAATCAAATGGCATTCAATCATGAGTTGGGCCATGAAAAATCATCCAGGGTTGACATATGATGGTACCAAGGCCCCATTCTTACGGGGCATGGAGTTTTGACGATGAGAAATCGTCTCTTACAAGCTCTCCTCTGTTACCGGTTACTGGGGACCATTTATATTTTTAGTGGCACCCTATCTATTTTCATGGCATTGACATGCATTTTCTTCATCAGATACACGCGGAATACTTTCTTACGAGAAAATGACTTTGTAGCGAAGTAAATGAAAATAGTTGCTTTTGTAATGTTGATTCAAAATGGATTATTAGTTTCATTATACTCCCGTTATGATATTGTGCATTGGTTTATATGGATGGATATGGCCATACTAGAATGTCAACAAGAAAAAGTGACACCAATTGATGATTAAATTAATAAATTGGATGAATGGGGCATGTTTTGTATATACCTAAAGAAGCTCCAATCACAAGAGTAATGCAAGGAAATCCTTTATGCTATATGGTGTGAGACTCAACCAAGTATCAAATCATATATGCCAAAACACAAAATTTACCAACAAGAACTATGGCTAAATTTCTTCGCAACCAGCTAAATGTGCTCAGGCAATTTTCTTCTTTGGGTGAAAATGAATAAACTATTGAATGGAAAGTGATATAAACATGAAGGTAATTGGGATCTCAATTACCAATAATTAAAAAAGAGCCCAGCAGAACTAATTGAAATATTACCCTACATGTTGAGTATCTCTAATCACTCATCTCCTGCTGCCTTTGGCCACAAGGTAAACTCTCAAGTCTAGCATAAATAAATAGGGGGAAATCTAAAATCCCATCCATTTCGCTATAAATCATATATTCTTCCGATTAACATATGCCAAGAGGAACAAGACTCCAATAGAAAAGGTTGTACCCTGAAACTACTTAGCTAGCATAGACATGCTCTTACCCAAATAATTAACGAGACCCAAACCATCCTAGCCTCAACATTAACAACTGTCTGCCAATTTATCAAATGATCCTTTCAATCTCCCCCACGCCTTTTTCTAAATAGAGCTGCCATCACTGACCAATCTTCCTTGGCCTTCCTACAGGAATCTCGTATAAAGATTAGTAGTACAAAGGATTCTGAGCACAAGACTAAAGATTGTAACTGTACTGCCCATGTTGAAATAAGCCCCTTAGGTTACCTTTGGCACGTAGGATTGGACCATACAAGAAATTATGCATAAAATTAGAGAAGATAATAATAAGTAGATAATATTAAGGTGGATATAATTTATGAGTTTTCATTGAAGAGAGTGCTATTTGCACCATCTTTCTTGTCCGGCCTACATCTACCTACTCAAAACATATTATGTCTTTCAGTTAGCTTAAGAAAGATGCTGCAAATAACATTCTTTTGAATAAAAAAAAAAAATTTATCCACTCTAATAATATCTACATAGTATATCTACTCTAATTTTATATTTAATTCCTTGTACAGTTTTATTCGTTGTAGAAAACACTACCTTATTGTCCATCACACCTCTTATTAATCCTCTCGACCTGGGCCACTGAAAGAAACTACCCTTTTATTCAAATCCAGAATCCATCTTACAATTCTGTAAGATCACCAAGCTATTCTTGAAACCATCTACTTCATCAAAAGAAAAGGAATAGGCTACTTCGTAAACTGATGTCAGGTACGCTATATTGCTCCTTTATTGTAAGAATTTCATATCCATCTCATATCTAAAGCATCCCATCACAACCACGTAATCATTCGTACACATAAAAGGAACGTTAAACTATTCCTCCCCATACAAAACAAATAAAACCCCACAATCCCTCTCGTTTTTTGTACCCCCTTCCACCCACCAAAAAACAAAAGAGAATTTTGTGCCCGATGTTTAAAAAAAAGGACCTCTTTCTAATTTGAATACCCAAACATCCAGAATCAAAAACAAAAATAATGTATAGCCCTCAAAAATAAATAACGTCATAAATCACACAAAAGACCCTGATATAATTAAAAACACGTGCAAATTAATAAAAATTAATCAGCAACAATCAAGAATTACATGAACATCAACACAAAAAGACTGACAAACAGAGAGGAGAGGTAAAGGAAGAAGGTACCTTTATGATTCAAGGCAATCATCGTGATTCTGCATGTGGTCAAGATCCTCAGGCAAGTACATCAAATCTTCCTTCAATTTCTTCGCCTGCCGTTACAGTTCAAACAATTACAATTACACCAATCCACTATCAACAATATACACATTCATATATATACATATACACACGCACACACAAAACTGCTTACGTGAAGACAATGAGCTGGAATTTGCGTATTGTGATCTCGGGGAGGGAGTAGGTCTAGGCCTTTATATTTTATTATTATTTATTGGAAGTAATAGAATTGGGATTTCAAGAATCTCAATTATATATACGTTATATTTATTGTCCAACTACTGCTGAGCATATTGGGGTTTGAACTTTGAGGTGTGGTTAGAAAAGCGAGAATTTTTGTTTTAAGAGTACAATTTCTTTATTTAAGTTTTTTTGTCAAAATAACTTTTTTTTTATTTTTAATGTAATTAATAAAATTATTTAACCTGTAATATTTTGACTAACAACCTTAAAACAGATTTATAACATATAAGTTGTTCGTTTTGGTTTTATTGAAAAATAATATTCGTTTGATTTTCAGAAATGGTAATCGAACCAATCAATATGGATGTGGCTTCTGAAAACCCGACTATGGATTCTACAGTGGCTCAAAAGCTAAGTTTTGTTGAGACTCAGAGTCAAGTTCTGTTATGGCTAAATTGTCAAATTATGTTATGAGCCACATCGTGGCTCAACCAACGGGCATGTCGTTAATGTTTTGGTTATTCATGGAGAAAAATAGGAGAAATTCGATGGCTTGAATTTCAAAAAGTGGCAATAGAAAATGTTATTTTACCTAATCACCTTGAATCTTGCGAGATTCTTGGCTGAAACTTCTCTCAAAATCAAAGGGGGTAAGGGAGATGTTCAAACTGTTAGCGTACTTGATGAGTGGAAACATTCGTATTTTTGTACCGAAACTACATCATGAATAGCTTAGCAGACTTGCTACACGACATGTATAGTACTATAAAAAAATGTCAAGGAGTTGTGGGAGTCATTGGAATGGAAATATAAGACTGAAGACGCCAGAGTCAAGAAATTCATTGTTGACTAATTCTTAGACTATAAGATGGTGGATTCAAAAACAGTAATTAGTCAAGCATAAGAACTCCAAGTGATTCTTCATGAGATTCGTGCTGAATGGATGATTTTGAGTGAAAATTTTCAAGTGGCTGTAATTATTGAAAAATTGCCCCTTGCCCCCGCGTGGAACGATTTCAAGAATTATTTTAAGCACAAACGACAAGAAATGAATGTTGAAAAACTAATTGTTAGACTTCGAATTAAAGAAAACAACAGAAGTTCAGAAAAGAAGTTGTTCAATCATATTGAGGTTAAAGCCAATGTTGTTGAACACGGTCAAGGTTCTAAGACCTTCAGGAACAAGTATAGGATATCTGGTGACAAAGGTGCTAAGCTGGAACCGAAATGGAGCATTTCTAAAAAGAAATTTCAAGGAAAATGCTTCAATTGTGACAAAGTAGACGACAAGTCTTGGAAGTGCAAATTGTCAAAGAAGAATAATAAAAAAGAAGCAAATGTGGTTGACTACATGACGCATGATGTGTCGGAAATGAATCTCGTATATGTCATTTCTGAAGTGAATATTGTGGGTTCTAACCCAAAAGAGTGGTAGATTGACACCGGTGCTAAAAAGCATGTGTACTCTCGTAAAGAGTTGTTTATTGCGTTCGAAGCAATTGAGAATGGGAGAGAAATTGTTCATAGGAAATTCGACAACTTCTGAAATCAAGGTCAATGAAAGATAGTTTTGAAGATGATTTCGGGGAAAGAACTGACTCTTAACAATGTATTGCATGTGCCGGAAATCCGCAAGAACCTAGTGTCCGGGTTACTTTTGAATAAGCATGTTTTTCGTATTGTATTTGAGTCGGACAAAGTTATTCTGTTAAAAAGCGATATGTTTGTTAGAAATTGTTATGTTTTCAATGGTATGTTTAAATTGAATGTAATGGTTTTGAAGTCGAAAATTAATAAAATTAATTCTTTGTTTATTTAATTGAGCCTTCCAATTTGTGGGATGATAGATTATGACATGTTAATTGTGATACCTTGCGTAAATTAATTAACTTGAATTGTAAACCCACGTTCCATATTGATTTAAATATAAGTACAAAACTTGTGTCGAGAGAAAATTAACAAGGATCTCATTTAAATCAATTGAACGAAAAATAGTATCACTTGATTTAATTAACAGCGACGTATGTGATTTAAAATTTGTACAAACGAGAGGTGGCAACAAGTATTTCGTTACTTTTGTCGATGATTACAGAAAATACTGTTATGTCTTTTTGCATAAAAATAAGGACGAGATTATTGAGAAATTTATTCTCTATAAGAATGAAGTTAAAAATTAACTTAATACGAAAATTAAGGTTTTGAGAAGTGATCGAGGTGGTAAGTATGAAGCACTATTTGCTGAATTTTGTGTACAACACAGAACCATATATGAAATCATTGCACCATATTCTCCGCAATGAAATGGTATTGTTGAATGGAAATATCGTACTTTAAAAGAAATGGGGAATGCAATGTTAGTAAGTTTCGGGTTACCTTAGAACATGTTTGGAGAAGTTGTGTGCTATTAGCAAATTACCTTTTAAATAAGGTGCTCCGAAAGAAAATGGGAAAAACCCTTTATGAGTTATGAAAATGAAAATTCGTATAAATATTTACGAGTGTGGGGATGTCTTGTTAAAGTGGTTGTTCCAACACCAAAGAAGGTAAAGATAAACCTGAAACTGTAGATTACATCTTCATAGGTTATGCACATAATAGTAATTCTCGTCGATTTCTTATGCACAAGACTAAAATCACAAATATATACAAAAATACAATAATAAAATCAAGAAATACTTCAGTATCTGAACAAGTATTTTTTGTACAGATCCAAAGAGGAAGTAAGCTATTTTAAACGAACACATGAGAATATGATTGAAAATAGTCATATCAAAACTAGAAGAGGAGGTTGATGTTGAACCAAAATGTAGCAAAAGGAAAATGACAGAAAATTCTTATGATCCTGATTTTTTTGGCTGATATGCTAGAAAGTGAATTCGAAGCTTTCAATAAACTGTGAACTCTTCAGAAGAACCTCGGTGGAAAGAGCTTATTAAAAGTCAAATAGATTCCATTTTACAAAATCATACTTGAAAGTTAGAAGATCTTCCTCTAGAAAGTAAACCACTAGGCTACAAGTGGATTTTCAAAAGAAAAATGAAAACAGATGGAACAATTGAATAGCATAAGGCCATATTAGTAATAAAATATTACAGACAACGATAATGCTTTGATACATATTCTCCAGTGACGAGAATAACATCATTTAGGATGATACTTGCATATTCTCTAATGATGAGAATAGTATCTTTTAGGATGATACTTGCAATTGCCGCTCTGCGAAATCTTGAAGTACATCAAATTGATGTTAAAATAGCACTTCTAAATGTAGATTTAAAGGAAGAAATCCACATAGAATAACCCCAAGGTTTTTCATCACAGAACAAGAAAATAAAGTTTGTAAATTCGTGAAGTCGTTGTATAGTTTGAAATAAGCTCCAAAATAGTGGCAAGAAAAAATTGACAATATTATTATGGAATGTGGATTTAAGATTAACGATTGTGACAAACATCGAAAATGATTATGTTATTTTATGTCTTTACGTTGACGGCATATTTATTATTGGTAGCAACGATGAAATGATTAAATCTATTAAAAATATGTGAAATTCAAAGTGACGTGAAAGATATGAGTTTAGCTAATATGGTACTTAGAGTTAAAATTAGCAGAACATCATATGGACTAGTTCTAAGCCAGTCACATTATATGGGCAAAATTCTAGAAAAGGTCAGCAATGATGATATTGGTATGGCTAGAACACCGATTGATACGAGTCAACATCTATCTAAAAACAAAACGAGAGCGTCTTTCAAATAGAATACTCTATAATTATTGAAAGTCTGATGTACATGGTGAGTTGTACAAGATCAGGCATACTATACACATATAGTAAATTGAGTAGATACAAAAGTAATCAATAGCTGACAACTGGCAATGATTAGTACGTGTACTAAGATACTTAAGATATACTTGTAATTTTGGACTACTCTATACCAAATATCCAGCAATCATTGTAGGATATATTAATGTAAATTGGATGTCTGATATAAAAGGCTCCGTATCCACTTGTAGATTTATGTTCACACTGAAAGATACAGGTATATCCTGTAAATCATCTAAACAAACAATTATAGCTAGATATATCATGAAATTTAAGTTTATAACTCTAGATAAATGTGGTGAAGAGGTTGAGTGGTTAAGCAACTTCTTAGAGGATATTTCTAGATGGTCGAAGCCAGTGCCAACAATTTGTATACATTGTGATAGTCAATCAGCAATTGAAAGGGCATGAAGTAACATGTACAATAGTACTCTGGACATATATGTCGTAGACACAATACCATGAGGCANATACAAAGAAAAACCCATCCTTATTGACTGGAGATCCCAAGATCTAGGTGTAAAGGGACAACCTAATTGTAAAAACTTAATTGAATCACAGCGGGTGATGTTACCTCATGTCCATTACTATTATGATGCTCGTAAGGATCAAAGATAAACAAATTTTTTAAAAGAATTCTTATGCGACGAAAATCGAGCGAAGTATTGCGGGATACTTGAAATAAGAAATCACCTATGTGAGAGAGAAGTTGGATCGTTTCTAAGAGAATTGTGTGGGGCTCAATTCTTAGGAACTATCGCAAAACTAGGCATATGTTCATGTCTAAAGAGGAACATAACAATGAGAATGGGACCGTGTTAGGAAGAATCATGTGCGTAATATATCATCTTTTACATAAATAGCAAAATAGGTTAAGGATGTCGTGTCTACTTGCCAGCTAGTAAAGTAGATATACTTTCACAAGAGAATGTTCAAAGGGATTAACATATCTATCATATGCAAATTTCAACTGTTGAACTATATAACCAAGTTTTTATATCTTTCGTTTCTGTCTATCTCAGTTTTCATTCATGTGGGAATTGTTGAAAAAATAAATAAATTGAAGGACAGACTTTGACATAAATTTTCAGTGGGATCCATTTGTTTATTTTGGAAGATCGAGATGGATTTGTATTATTTTCTGTGAGAATATCGAGATCATATATTTACTTGCTAAAAAACATGATACTTGGATGAATGAAAAATTATAGCTTAAAATGATGCATTGGAAGAGATTTTGTGTTTGAGAGAAACTAGTTTAACGTTATCCCCACATGGGAAAATAGATAAAGACAATGACTACTTTAAATATGATTACACCTTATAATGGAGTAATCATGTGTAATATAGAGGCTCTCTCCACGTACGAGTGCAGGAGGCGCAATTCAAGGATCAAAATAGGTTTTCAGACTTTGAACTTATGTACGTACACGAATGTAAGATCGAATGAACCAAAAATTGCTCTTGAGAAGGACCACATTTTACCTTTATTTTATTATTTTTCCAAATAAAAAACCTTCCAAATTCTTTTAACCCCTGAAACTTATGTGATCATGTCCGTGTTAATGAAAAGATTAACAGTCGAATTAATTGTAGTTAATAGCATAACTCTTAGCTTGTTAGTTCTCCAATACAACCTATTTATTTAGTCATTTGCTTCTCTTATTGACACACAAAAATTTCTCCTCCACATAAAAATTTGTCACATGTCTGCATACATAATTTTTCACATTTTGTCAATGTCTTGGTGGTGATAGTGTTCAAATATTAAGTCAGTTCATCATAGTAGCATCTGCAGTGCTTAGACTTTATTGATTTTCCATTGTATTCTGGAAAACAAATGTTTGAACTAAATATCAAGGACCTATGGTGAGGGGGCGAATCTGTTTTAAGAAAATCGTGTTTACACATATCTCGATTTTAAAGTTCATTCACTCTTTTATTATTTCCTACAATTTTAGATTATATATATATATATATATATATATAATATTTCCTACAATTTTAGATTATATATATTCATATTCAACGTAATTAATAAAATTATTTGATCTATAATATTTTGACTAACAAAAAATTCTCTAATACATGGTCTTAGTATTTTGGGGAGATTTGTGTTTTTGATAAACAGTCATTAGACCTGATCACTACAACCCTCTTTGTTAGAGACGCCTCTTCTTCCGAAGTTGAGGGACTATTTTCTCAAGTTCCTTAGATATGAGTTGTCTCGCTCCTTTTAAGTATTCTCTACCTATCCACACGTGTCATTTTTGGGTGCAGTTATTCTTTCGTTTAAAGATTGTTCGAGTCTTCGTGCATTTTGAACGAGAATCTAATGTAGAAAAACTATTTTCATTGCGGTAACATCAAGATGAAATATTAATAGCAAGATTAGAAATGTGCAAAAGCAAGATCATTCACGATCAAAAAGAAAAAATATGGCATCCGAGGGATGTAAATAAAAAGGTATATACCAAAACTAATTCACTTTTTTTTAAAAAAAAACTTATATATTTGGGAAAAATTCATATTTCAGGTGTATGATTTACACCAATTCAAAAGTCAGGTAAATAGTTTAACCATTCAAAACTCGGTTATTAGGTAATTAATTAAAAATATTTATTAATTGGTCACAATTGTACAATTAATGGTCACATATACATAATTATATGTCATAATTTATTTATTGGTCACATATTATCAAATTAATTAGTCACTCAAGATTTCGAGGTCACAAATTCAAAAAAATATGGGTCACGGTTAATTTCATTGGTCACATATTTTCAAATTTGTTGGTCACATATTATTTTTCAGTCACATATTGTCAAATTTTTAGGTCATAATTAAATACTTGGTCAAAGATAACCAAATATTTGATCACATACCACTGGCACTACCATTTCTGCCACTTTTGACCACCCTCACCCCGCCGCCGCCATCACCACCACGACCACCAACATCACCACCAACAAACCCACCACCACCGCATCCAATCCGAAAACTATGAGGTTGCTGTAAAACAGACCGGAGGAAAGATGCTGGCCTTGGCTTCCTGTATAGACGCTGTTGTAGCTTCGCCTCCCGACTATGCCGTCGCCTGGGATGGCACTGTTCCCACGTTGGAGTCATCCTCTGCTTTTGGCGTCTCTCTGCCGACAAACACCACCATCACCACCGCTTAGTCACTGCTCATTCCTCCATGCTCTATCGGGTCGACGGGTGGGGTGCCCCTTATTTACTGTCAATTCGTCCGAAATATTTCAATTCGCCCCTACGACACGAAAACCCTGGCCCACTCGGAGATTGACCTCCTCAAGGAAGAAGGCCTCTGCCCCAAATGCTTCTTGTGGGCTTGGTCTNTTACTCACTCAACTTCAACGAGTTATCGAACGCTGACTCATCTTCACTTATCGTTACCCATCCACCACTCACTCGACGCCCGTCTCTTTTAATTAATAGAAATTTACACGTGTATGATGGAATATCACGTGGCAAACACCTCCGTTAAATTGACCCAGCTGGAATTAAACCCATCTCCTCCATTTTCACGACATTTTCCCCATTTTCACGCCATTCATTCTCATTGGAAGAGAACACCAATCCTCTCAATTTCTTGAAATTAACACTGAAATCAAAGTATTAGGCTTGGGAATTCTTCTCTTCTGAGGATAATGGATGGCATAAGTGACCGGGAAAGCCCTCACATGGAAGATGCATTGTTGGAAGACGAGCAAGAAAGACCACAAAAAGGCAATTTTCCATACTATTTTATTGGAACATGCTTTGTTTTCTTATGCTTCCATTTGCAGTGTACTCAATGGTTGTTATGAATGAGTCAATTTTGTAATCGATTTCACTAAAACCCCGGCCATACTGTCTAAAAATGGAATACTTTTCAGTAATCAATGCTATGTAATGCTTAATATATGTTAAAAAGTTTCTTTTCTTTGTATGGAAATTTCATAATATGAAGCAGTTAACTTCGGATTTCACAAATTTCCCAGTTCTATATTTGTTTTAATTAGATTTTCATTTATATCCAAACATTAACCCTAGTCTTTTTAGCATTCTAGTGACGAACGATGAAAGTGAAGATTTGGTGCCACTTGAGTGCCAATTAAATGACTCGGAGGATGATGTGGACGACGGTGGTTTTCAATATCAAAGAAATGCACTGGATAGAGTTTAGGTTGGTCAATTTGAAATAACTGGGGAAGATGATGGCTCAGAATTGGATGATCCATACTGTGCATATTCTGAGGAGGAGTTCCATACTGATCATTCTTCGGATGAGGAAAATAATTATCGTTTCCCTACATATGATGCTGATATGGAGAAGTTAATCCATAATTAGAGGTTGGAAAAAAGTTCAAAGACATAGAAGAGTTTAAGAAAGCAGTTAGACATCATGGAGTTGTCACTAGATGTAATTTGAAGTTTATGGCGAATGATGAAAAGAGAGCACATGGAGTGTGCAAAAAAAAGGATTGCAAGTGGAAGATTTGGGTTTCATGGAATAAGAAGAAGGGTTGCGTGCAAATTAAGACGTTCAATTCACAGCACACATGCATACGGGACATAACAAATAGGCATTGTACAGCTAAATATATTACTGAGAAGTACATAGAGACTTTCAAGGTTTCCCCTGATTAGAAGTCAGAACTCATTATTAAGGTTGTGAGAGATGACCTGAAATTAGTAATCAATAGAGTTACTGCATGGCGAGCTAGAAGACACGCCAGGATATTGATTGAGGGCTTTAACGAACACCAGTTTGGCCTGCTTTGGTCCTTTGCTCATGAGATTTTGAAAAGCAATCCAGGATCCACATGTATAGTTACCACGCATGAGTCGAAGTTTCAAGGGGTTTATATATGTTTAGAAGCTTGCAAGAGAAGTTTTATGAGAGGTTGTAGGCAACTTTTAGGCTTAGATGAGTGTTTTTTGAAAGGGAATTTTGGTGGATAGATGCTTGTTGCAGTTGCACTAGATGCCAATGATTGTATTTACCCCGTAGCATACGCAATAGTGGAGACGGAGAATGCTAGAAGTTGGAGATGATTCTTTAGTCATTTGGGTGAAGATTTAAGGATTGTGAATAGTAACGAATGGACTTTTATGACTGATAGGCAGAAAGGATTACAAAAGGTTATCGAGGAGTTGTACCTTGATGCTGAACATAGGTTTTGTGTGAGGCACATGTATACAAATATTTTTAGGGCTGAATTTAAGAGTTTGACACTTAAAGGTTATTTATGGAAAGCTGCAAAGTCAACTACTGTACCTGATTGGAAGTTTTGGGTGGATGAACTTGCGAAGGAGAGTGCGGGTGCATTTGAGTAGTTAAGTAAAAGGGATCCACGTGAATGGAGTGAGTCGCATTTCTCCACTGAGGTAAAGAGTGATATAGTACTTAACAAATTTATGTGAAGTTTTCAATAATGTAGTATTAGAGGATAGGGAAAAATCTATCTTGACTATGTTAATTGACATGCATATTAGCTGCATGAAGAGGATACAATCAAAGAGGGATAAGATGAGAAGAGCCATAGGACCTTTGTGTCCTAAGATTCAACAAAAATTAGCTAAATCCATGGAAATAGCCGAGGAGTGTGAAGTAGAGTGGNCCTGATTAGAAGTCAGAACTCATTATTAAGGTTGTGAGAGATGACCTGAAATTAGTAATCAATAGAGTTACTGCATGGCGAGCTAGAAGACACGCCAGGATATTGATTGAGGGCTTTAACGAACACCAGTTTGGCCTGCTTTGGTCCTTTGCTCATGAGATTTTGAAAAGCAATCCAGGATCCACATGTATAGTTACCACGCATGAGTCGAAGTTTCAAGGGGTTTATATATGTTTAGAAGCTTGCAAGAGAGGGTCTATGAGTGGTTGTAGGCAACTGTTAGGCTTAGATGAGTGTTTTTTGAAAGGAAATTTTGGAGGACAAATGCTTGTTGCTGTGGCACTAGATGCTAACGATTGTATTTACCCCATAGCATACGCAATAGTGGAGATGGAGAATGCTAGAAGTTGGAGATGGTTCCTTAGTCATTTGGGTGAAGATTTAAGGATTATAAATAGTAACGAATGGACCTTTATGACTGATAGGCATAAAGGATTACAAAAGGTTGTCGAAGATTTGTACCCTGATGCTGAACATAGGTTTTGTGTGCGGCACATGTATTCAAAATTTTTTAGGGCTGATTTTAAGAGTTTAACTCTTAAAGGGAGAGTGCAGGTGCGTATGAATGGTTAATTAAAAGGGATCCACGTGAATGAAGTAAGTCTCGTTTCTCCACTAAGGTAAAGAATGATGTAGTACTTAACAATTTATGTGAAGTTTTCAACAATGTAGTGTAAGAGGATAGGGAGAAATCAATATTTACTATGTTAATTGACATGCATATTAGCTGCATGAAGAGGATACAATCAAGGAGGGATAAGATGAGAAGAGCCACATGACTTTATGTCCCAAGATTCAACAAAAATTAGCTAAATCCACGAAAATAGCCGAGGAGTGTGAAGTAGAGTGGTCTGGGAGCCCACGGTTCTATGTGAAATGTCGTACTGGGAAATACGTGGTTGATTTGTCAAACAAGACATGTGCATGTAGGAGATAAGATTTGACAGGGATTCCATGTGGACATGGGTTTGCTGTTATACTAGACAGAGGGGATAATCTTACAAAATACGTGCATAAGTACTACACAGTGCTATGAAAACATTGTCAATCCCATTAAAGGTAAGAAATTGTGGCCGGAAGTGAATGCTATCCCTTTACAACCACCGGGTTGGGTGGCAGCGAAGAGGCACAGTAAAGATGACATGCACTTTATGTCATTTACCTGGTCACAACAAGCGTTACCATGACAGGGCAGATGCACCGATTAAGGTTTGTCTTTCTTTAATCAGCATCTTCTAAAGTTATGTAGTAGAAATCATGTTTTGTAACTATGATTACTGATTTTAGGATTGGGATGGAAATGATGTTGATAAGTGTGTTTTTGCACACTTATATTTAAATATACTTATTATTGATTAAAATGAGCGAATTTCTATTCACAATTATGTAATATTTGCGTTTGTAGGTAAAAATCACCAAAATGAAAGAGAACAAGGCAAAAGAATAAAAAAAGGACCAAAAACGTACAAAGATGTGAAGTTTGGGACCAAGTTGCACAAGTGCCGAATGTTGGAGGACATTGGGATGCAATTTATGGAGGGCAATATTGAAATGAAAATCCAAATTCGAGGACCAAAATGTACAACATAAAAGTTGAGGGACAAACTATGCAATTTATCCTGAGGACCTCATGTGCAATTTTTGATTTCACCAAGAGTGCGCACCCGTGCACTTGGCTTCTGGAATTGTGTGCACCTGCGCACTTTTAGTGCGTACCCGTGCGTTAAAAATTTCCGAAAACCAGATATTTTGAGGGCATTTTGGGCTTTTGTTTGTGCTCGGTTTTGAGAGTATTTAAACACCAAAACTCATAACTCAAACCCTAGAAAGAGTTTTTGAGAGTTTTTGAGAGTTTTCTCTCTTGTGGGTTTTCCTTCTTCTTTCTTTTTCTTTCTCTTCTTTCTTTCTTCTTTCATTTTTCTCTTCCTTTTTCTTTTGTTTTACTTGATATTTTGGAGCAATCAAGAGCATGAAAAGGGAAATACATCAAAGTGGTGAAGAAGGATTTGGGGAAATCAAGCAAAGCTTCAAATAGGGTTTTATCTACACCTTTGATTTTTCTCAATTTTTCTTCCATATTTGTAATGTATTGGATATATATTTTCCTTTGTTATCATATATATAAAATGGGCTAATTGATTGTGTTGGGATTTGTGGAATTAGTTTGACCTAGCCTTGATTAATTTCTATATTTGCCCTTTGATTTTAAGTTGCTTATTTTCATGTGTTTCTACTATTGTTTTCCATGCATTTTCATTTATATGGCCAATAGATGATTGTATTTAGTGATTTGTACATCGTTCGAGAGAAGATTGTGCATTTTAGACCAAATAGTAGAAACCCTAAGTTTGTGTAATGGATAGAGATATACCATTAACCCTAGGTGACCCAATGAGCTATTTTCACAATGATTGAATGCGATTGTTTGGTTGTAATCGACATAGAGATATAGTATGTTAAACCAATCAATTAAGATTAATTTCACTCGAGAGAGGTAATTAACTAAAATTGGAAGATCGGGTCTAATATCGGAATTAAATAATTCGTTAATTGGCTTATAGAGAAATTAATTAGGCGATGGTTAAATAAAACCACGAATCCCAACAACGTTTTTCCTCCGAAATTTCCAAGTATTTGTATTTTTCTTATTTTATAGATTTTTAGTTTATTTACCGCTTTTCAAATATCATGTTTAATTGTGTGTATTTCATTTGATTGTTAGAATTAAATTGATTAAAGTCGTGTAATCTAAAGTAACATTCCTCGAGGGATCGACAATCCGGACTCAAAAAGTCCACTTTATTACTTGTACGCGACCCATGCATTTGCGGTATATTTTCAAGCGAATAGATGCCAATCACATAAATCAAGATAGAGCTGGCCAAGTTAAAAGTCATAGTTCAAGGGTAATTTTTCGATTTTGTTACTCTTTGATTACCTTGATTTCTGATTTCATGACTTTTAATCATTTCTGTAACGTAGGCCAAGCTAGCAACTCGAAGAGCAAACAAGAATTCAACAAATGAAGTACAACATAATCCTCCAACAGATGGATACATTTTCATGCCGACACCTAGACTTCGGGTCACAAGTGATGCACAATCTAACAACACTGGTCCTTCCAAATAGATGTCGTTTAGGGTCTGTTTTGAAGAGTTTTTTACAGTGAACTATCCTTGGTTGTTGTTCTAGCTGTGCTTGTTTATCATCTAATGTGTTTGAAATGTCATCTAACCATCATGGATGAATGTATTTTTTGAATGAATGGTTACATTCCAGCAGTTTACTGGTTTATATTTATGATTTTAGAATGAATGAATGAATGGACTGTATTTTGGCCAACATCCAGCAGTTTGTTTTTTTACTAGTCTCTGTTTTACTGGTTTATGTTTATATTTATATTCCAGCAGTGTACTAGTTTATGTTTATGATTTTGAGAATGAATGAGCTTATTCTGGGGAACACACTACTAGTTCATGTTTACGCAGTCTACCTTTTGGTCTCTTGAACACACTACAGTTTTAGCATTAAATATCTAAATTTTAGTTTAAAGTTTGCTTTAAATTAGTACTGGATATTCAATTGTAGATTTTGAGCTTACTCTGGGAATATGTGGAACTGATTACTCTTCCAATGAGTTCAAGAACAAAGGGAAAATTTGTGCACCTCAATCAATCCAATTTTCAGTAACCTCAGCAGTAACATCTTATTCTACTAACTCAACCACAAAAATGAAACAAACCAAGGTATAACATGATTCATTCATTCGTTTAAAACAACAAGGATCATACAACCAAGTTACAACAACCAACTACAATCTTATTATTAGCCCCACCAGCAGCAATATAAACCAACAATAACCACCAGCAATAAGACCAACTACAGCCAAGTTACAACAACCAACTACAATATTATTATCAGCCCCACCAGCAACAATATAAACCAGCAATAACCACCAGCAATAAGACATTTTGCAATAACCATTAGAAATAAGATAATCAGCCCCACAAGCAGCAATATAAACCAGCAACAACCAGCAGCAATAATACATTCTGTAATAACCATCAGCAATAAGATAATCGACTGCAACAACCAGCAGCAATAACCCTGGGCACAACATTCTGCTTATTCGTTTTCGTGGACTGCAATTTCCCTTCCCAAACAGGACCACAATCTCCCTTCTATATTCGATCTTGCTTCGACAAGGAAATGTCAGTAATTCCGTCAATCTGCAAAGCAGATGTTGCATCTTCAAAATGCTTATGTGTTTGACCCGAGAATGGACGAAGACGACCATATAACCGCCGAGTTCGACAGAACTACAATCAGAAAATCGAATTGCAACTTCATCGAGCTAGGCAATTTTCTTTTCCAGCTTGGCGCTGTCGAGGGATTTGAGTTGGGCGATGGTAGATTCCTTCACGGTGGTGGAGATGATGCGATCGTCGGGGTTTGAATTGAATTGGTGGAAGGATTCCACCAATTTTTAAGCTAGGTGATCAAGATAGAGTAGCTGGGCGATGGCGGATTCCACCAATTTTCGGCCGTCGGGGTTTGAATTGGAAATTAAGGGTTTGAATTGAATTGGGAATTAATGGTTCAAATTGGTGGGTAGAGAAATTGGGGGAGATGCGTGTTTGGAGAGGAGAGTGTCGTGAGTTTAATTCCAGTTGGGTCAATTTAACGGAGGTGTTTGCCACGTGATATTCCAACTAGTATTTTTGACATTATCATCAAATCTTTCAAGGAAAGCTCTTGCATTTCTCATGGTGCTAGCAAGCCAATAATTCCAAGAATTTGATTTTATGTTTTATTATTTCTTTATTGACTATCATAGCAACGAGGCTATACATGCGTCAATAAGTTTAATTCTAGCTGGGTCAATTTAACGGAGGTGTTTGCCACGTGATATTCCATCATACACGTGTAATTCTCGATTAATTAAAAGAGACGGGAGTCGAGTGAGTGATGGATGGGTAACAATAAGTAAATATGAGTGAGAGTTCAGTAACCCATTGAAATTGAGTGGTAACAAGTTTAAAATTGAATGAGTGTTGATTAAATTAACTCTTACACAGCAACTGTGAGTAAAGCAAATGCAATAATAAAAACTAAAAAAAGAAGGTTGTGTTTGATAGGGTTGTTTTTCCATGGAAAATGGAATTGATTTTCCATTTTTCATATTTTTTGATGTTTGATAGCATTTTTTTCATGTCAAATGTTTTCCACCCTCCCCCCACACGTGCATATTTTCCCCTAAATTGATGAAAAATTTTTCCCACCATTTAGGTAGAAAATGGTTTTCAAGATGCTGCTGTATTTTATTATTATTATTATTATTATTATAGAAACAAATTTCATAATCAATTGTAAAAAAAATTTCATTTTAATGGACAACTTTCATGTAAAATAAAATCAAATGAATACTAAAACTTTGATGAAAAATAATTTTTTAGGAAATATTTTTTTTAGTTTTTTTTTTTTTAGTTTTTGGCAATGGAAACCAATTTTTTAACAAATTGTGGAAAGAAATATCATTTTAAGGGACAATATCCATGAAAAACAAAGTCAAACGAATAGAAAATTAAAAAATTTTCAGATTTTTGGGGGAATAATTGATTTTTGAATAGTGATATGTTGGGAAATGTGTGGTTGAAAAAGAAGTAAAAATTATTGATGTGATGGAAAATATTATTTTATTGAAGAATGTGTGGTTGAAATTGAGAATTGATTTGAGAATAAAAAACAAACAGGGCTTTTATAGTCAATTGTGAAAAAAAATTTCATTTTAATTGATAATTCCTATGTAAAATAAGGCTAAACTAACACAAAATTTTAAAATTTTTCAGGTTAATTATCAATTAACTACAAAATAATTTCTAGAAAATTACTTTCCAAAAAATTCATTCGCGAGAGAAAGCTTTAAATTAACTTTCTGTAGAAATTTTTGAGATAATTATTGATGGGTCGTGCATGGATTTCCTCTGGGGCTTTGACTCTTCCATCAACACCATATACACACTGTAATGATTCTAGGAAACTCTCCAAATTCCCGTTTTACCCATCGCCACCATCATTATTACCAACCAGGTCTCAGGCGCGCAATTGCAGATGTCAATTATCTGCAGCAGTGCCACAAAACGACCTCAAATTTGTACTCCACGATGTCCTCGATTCTTCTGGCCAGAATACCACCCACGCCCGAGTCAGTACTTCATTTTAATTTTATCTGATTCTAAATTAAGCCGATAGACAGGATTTTAATTGAGCACGTAAATTCATTTTTCTGACTTTTATTTGAATTGTTAGTTTTGGTGGTCTTTGGATTAATAAAAGATATTGATAGGATAGGATTATTTGAATCCATTGTTATATAGTTTCATCAGGTTATGCCTTTATATGTTTATGGGGTTATTCTTTCTTGAACGGATTATTTGTAATTCTATTGGAAGAGCATGTTAATGGTCTTAAAAACGAAACCCAATTTTTATTTCGATTTCGATTAGACGCAGATTGAATGCCTTTACGATAGTTCTTTAGTTTGTGTAGTCATATCCCCAGGGTCCAAGCTTGTACCTAATCATGACTTGTTGGAGTAAATTAATCACAGAGTTTTAAGAAATCAGTAATGGAGTTTTTGCTCTCATGGAATTATTGAAAAATTAATTTAGTTTGATTAGGATATTCTATCATTCAATTTTTGGGCTCCAATTCCATGATGACTAAGCACAACAAGCGTCAGGACATAATCGCCAAAATTGTATCCTCGTTCCACGATCTAAACTAAGGTTTAATTTAGGACATTACTTTTCCTTTCATGACTATTCTGAATTATCCGCTAGGTGATAAGCCTCAAAGTTTTAAAGTCTCTTTAGAGTTCATTATCGATAAAGTTTGATCTCCGGTCTGCATTGTAGGGATTTAAAAATTGATTTATAGTAGTTGGAGCAAAATATAGGTACCAAAATGTATCAGTCTAAACATTCAACAGCTAAAAGCCTAAAAATACAAAAAAAAAAAGGGGGATTATGGTGGAGTTCGAACTTGCATTCTTTGAATTGGTGATAGAGATGATGACATATGACACGACAGATGTTTTCTTGGAGCTCTCTAGTAAAAGTATTCAAGACCCAGATCTGCCTAGTTACTTTTGTGTTGTCTTACTTGTATTTTCTTGCCTCTCAGATTATTCTTCAAGGGCACCAGAAATGATATCTAAACCATGAGAAGTTGCAAAAAAAATAAGTAAGAAAGAAGGCTAGTTCCGTTCATGCCTTAGATTTCAACTATTGAGGCCATAAATAATTTTGGAAATATATGCGTGGGATTTACTTAGCTGACTGGATTTATTTTCTTATGACGGACAAAAAGAATCTATCAATATGACCCCTTTATGCATAAATCCCTGAAACTATGATTGTCTCTTGGTATGAGTCAAGTCTTAACCCTGGCAATTTTTTTTATAAATTTCTCCCCAAGGATGTGCATTTGATGTTTATCTTTTCTTTTCTTGCAAAATCAATAGCAGTTGTTTATCTCCGTTCACATATCAGAATATTGATCATGTACAGGCAGCAAGGGATGGTTTCTGCTCGGAGATTCGAAAACTATCTAATATTGAGAGAGAAACTAGCATTAGTATTTATGGTGGGGTTGATTTGGGGAGGGCAGCTCTGCATATAGCTGCTGAAGACGACTCCCTGATCTCCCACTCTTCAGTTCCACTCCCAGTGGATGATTTCGTAGAAAGGTTGGACAATCTTTCTATGGACTACTGCTGTCATTACAGCTCTTCATTCAGTTCCTCACCAGAGAATTTTGTTCAGTGCTTAGAAAGATATCTATACATTGATAAAGTAAGCCGAGTTTCCCCTTTTTTATGATACCGTAGTTGATTCTTTAATGTTGTTATTCTGTTTTTCATCATTTCCCACTCCAACTAATACCAAGAAAAAGGTGAAGGAGAGAAGGTTGCAGTCATTGTTCATATAAGAAAGAGAAGTGAACTTACATGAAGTTCCAATTGTTTTACTTTGAGATTGAAAATGTTGATATTATATTCAGAGGGTGTTTGGTGAGGATTAAAATTAGATTTTTAGTTGATTGTGATAGAAGTTTTTGAAATGTGTGGTTGAAAAGTTGTGGGACCCATGAAAAATGTGGTTAATATTGATTGTTTGACTTTGACTTGGATTAAAAATCAGATTTTAATCCGGACCAAACATGGGCCGAGTTTGTTTGGGTGTTGAACTTGCTTAGTTTTCACCATCAAGTGTATTCATGGGTTCTATTAACAGATCTAACATATGCTTGTCTCTCATTCTTTCAAAACTCTTTTTTCTACTTACTCATTTTCTATTACACATTCACACAATAAAATNTTTTTCTACATATTATTTTCAACCACACATGCAATAAAATATTTTACACGTAAAACCAAAACTTTTCCTACTTTTTAACCGCACATTCTCCAAAAATTCACTATTCAAAACAATGTTTTTCCAAAAAAAATGGCCACCAAACATGGGCCGTATATACGTAATGAAATTTTTAATTGACAAGAATAGAATCAAAGTGATTTGTTCAAAAGCCTAGTTATTTTTTTACTGGCAAAAGTTTTATATGCATTGCTGGAAATGATATGATACATTTGTATTTTTATGTTATTTTAGCTTACTGAAATGGAAGTTTGTAAGCTGATTTGCTAGAGAAATGAACTGTTAAAACCTACTGCTCAGATTCAGACAAGTTAATGAGTCAAAAGTTTCCCCGGTTTTTTAATTTAGGTTAACATTTAATTGTCACTGGAAGAAAGAAGTTGAAAGTTAAAGCTGATTATTTGTTACACTGATGGCTAGGATATACATCTGCTGCTTGATTAACAGTGTTGGGTTGGAAAGTTCTGGACTGGTGAGAAGGAAACGTCCTAGATCAAGAAAATTAATACCCTAGTTCTTGCTTGTAGACAAAACTTTAATCGGGTTGTCCAGGGTTCTAAAGTTTTGGAAATGGTGGCATATGTCTAACATGCAAATCCAGATGGCTAAACGTGACATCTAAATCTAAACTGCTTATATAGAATTATTTGTTATGACAATCAAATGACTCAAATGTTCAATTTCTCAAGTTGCATTTGCATTTCCAGAGTAGTTCTAATAGTGTAGTGAGTGTGGGAATCTTAAATTTTCATTTCCACAAGAAATTTTCTAGGTGCAGCTCCCACCATCAGCTTGATATATTCTGACTCATCAATGGTTCAAAGAGTCCAAGTCATGAACATACACTACCCTTTCAGGATTAAGACTTGTGCTAAATTAAATTTCGCTTGGTTGTGTCTAATGCATTCTAAACGCAATAGTGTCTGTACTTCAAACTCACCGCTTCTACGGTGTAGACATCACTTTACAAAATAAAGCGCTCAATTGAACTCACCAGTCATGGACAAAATTTTAGGTTGTAAATTATAATTATATCTTCAGCACACAATCTTTTACATGCTCATAATTTATAATTCAACATATAACCTTGTCTGGATAACTAACTTTTGTTTAATCCGAAGTAAAAATTCTTACTTTTTAAAGGAAGCTTAAACCAAGTTATTTCAAGTAACTTTTTATCTACAAAAATGTTTGGGGGATTATTTGTGTGACTGAGGGATAATATGCTACTTGGATTAGTTAAGTCACAATATAATTTGCACTTAACACCATGTTGAATAAATACTTTCCTTATCAGGTGTAATATGGTCTTCCAAACATGCTCTCATTGTGCTTGAGGGCATTAATCTTAACACTTTTTGATTCTCTCTCTCTGGTTTTTTTTTTCTTTTTTAATTTGCTTCTTCTCCTGTTGGGATTACATGATTGAGTTTTTCCTATGATGTTATTCAGATTTTCATCTACTATAACATGGTAGCTTTTCCAGGGTTTTCGAAGGACTAGTGAAAGGAATCAAGTAGAGCAGCGTGCTCTTTATCTCCACTCGGTATGTTGCTTGTTCCGTGGTTGATTTTCTTTTTGATTAGGTAAACTATGCTCCATCACTCGGGAAACTTTTGTGTTTGAGCAGGTTTTGACACATCGTTCGGGTTCTGCTTCTATGCTCTCCCTCATTTACTCAGAGATTCTAAAGATGCTTCGTTTGTGGGGTCTCCTAAATTTTGATGTAGAAATTTTCTTCCCTCATGATTCTTACAGTTCTCCTAAAGGGTATCACAAACAAAAGAGCAAGGAATCTGATCGATCGCATATTATGACTACACAATCTTTACTAGTGGAGGTAATTCATTTGTGTTGTCCCCTTATTTTTATAGCATACTTCTGCTTCCTTCCGTGAAGAACATTATATTTGTCTTGGCCTTTAGTGCCGGGGCGGATATAGGAATTTTTCGCGCATGGGCTAAAATTTAAAAGTCGATATAATAAATTCATATATAAATTAAAGTCAAATTCATTTAATTTGAAGTTGTTTCCAACGAGGTTTTGAAACATAAAATTCATCTACAACAGAATCTATATCTAACTTTTGAGCAAGTTCTCGTTCGATGAAGAGTGTCATACAAGTCATCCTCTATTTTGCTACAAAGATCCGTCTTCACGTGTTTCATTGCTGAAATGCTCGCTCAGTAGTCGCAGTAGAAACAGGTAAAGTCAGTACAAGATGAATCAATCGAGTAACCATAATATAAGTCTCTGACCTGCTACTCCCAATTAACTATCGACATAACTTAACTAGTGTAGATACTTGAAATCGAGAGTCGCTGTTCATATCTAGCTCAAAATGTCTCAACTCATATTCTAAAGTACGAATATCTTGCTTTGAAAAATCTGCAGGATAGAATTTTTCAGCAAGTGTACAAATATCACGAATGCTAAATGATTCAAACGAATTTCTAGGATCCAAAGCTGCACTGAGTATGAGAAGTTCAACTGATGTCTCATTAAATCTTGTTTAATTCCATTAGTACGAAATCTATTGCTTCATTGAAAACATCAAAGTGATAATAATGCTTCGTTGTAATTTGGTCACGAGAACGACAATGACCAACCTTATACAAACTTTCCAAGTTAGGTATCTCAATATCATGTTTTGAGCAAAAAATTCACTTCCTGAATAAATTCTTTCCAATCATCATCTATTAATTTTTTTAAGGAGCTTTGTTGCAGTAGAAACAAATCTCATAGCAGCTAAGATGTTTAAAGATTTCCTTTGAAGAGTCTGACAAAGAGCATCGGCTATTCTCATGATGTTATGCATTAAATGCAAATTGAACACAAAATCAAAACTTTTCAAATGTTTGTAAGTGCCACGAACGTTGCCCTGAGATCTTCCATTTGGACAATGGACATTAAGATTTTCAAACACCTTACAAGTTGCATTGTACATATCTATCAAGCTTTTTATAGAGTCATTATGAGAACTCCAACGAGTTGCTCCTTATCGTTGTAAATTACCCACCTGATTTGCTCCTCTTCCCAACTCACACTCCCCAGTAGCTAACATATGCTCAATTTCATTTCTTTGAGCAGATTGTAACTCTGTAATGCGTTTAGGGGAAGAAGTGATAATGTTGACAATATTGTCCAAATGAGAAAAGAACCCCAAATAACATCAACTTCTTTAGCTGCATAAACCAATATCAATTGTAATCGATGAGAAAAACAATTACCATAATACGCATACGAACAATCTCTACGAAATAATGCCTGAAGTCCATTCCAAGTGCCTCGCATATTACTAGCACCATCATATCCCCGGCCTCTCATTTTTCCCACCTCAAATTCATGTTGAGCAAGAACATTTAAAATCTCATTTTTAAGATTTGATGATGTAGTGTCATGACGCTTTTGATATCAAAGTAGCATTCCATCAAAATACCCTGACAATTCACAAACCTCAAAATAATTGCCATTTGTTCTCTCTTAGATGCATCTTGTGCTTCATCAACAAGAATACAAAAATATCCACCCCCAATTTCTTCGTGAATCATCCTTCTTACTCTATTTGCCATTATGTGTAAGATTTCTTTTTGAATACTCCGAGCAATGTATTGGGCATTTTTTGGAGCATTCTTCAAAACAACTTCAATCGTTCTGCTAAAATTTTTATCATTTCAAAAAAATTTCCGTGATTTAATGAAGATGTAGATTCATCATTTTTTTTTTTATAAGTAATCAGATAATTTATTAATAAATCAAGAGATAATACATGGGAAATGTATTATCAATTTAAATAATACAGGAACGATATGAAATTAGGCAACCCTTCTATATGGTTATTAGCCACAGTATTAAACCAACTATACAAAGTCATATAAAACAATTCTCTGAACTGCACTGTAGTTCTTGTTTTGCCTTCAAAACAACAACTGTTCATTTCTGAATTTGATACGATATGCATCACTTTCTCAATATGTTGAGACAACTTCATTAAATCTTTAGCTCCTCTTTCACACATATTATGATCCGATAATCGCAAATGCGTAAGAAATTCACAATTCAATCCATCATTGACCCTTTTCCATTGGTTATATCCAGAAGTTACCAATGCCGAACAATTGGACAGATTCCCATCATTTCGAAAAAGATAACAATAAAAACAATATGCCCTATATGTTATAGGTGAATACTCTAGCCACGGGAACTGGTTGAACCATTTTACCTGAAAGCGACGAGACTGAGATTTTCCTTGTATCTTTGGATACTCAACAAGTTTTGGTTGATAAGGCCTAGCCTTTAGATATACCACTCTAATCTCATCTCGCAAATTAAAAGGAAATTCAAGTATTTGCTTTCTTTTTCCTGGTTCCCGTTCAATGCTAATATTTGAAGATGAATGTCGTTCGATTTTTGGTGGAAATGAAGGCTAATCTTGAGTTAGTCCATCAGAAGTTGTACTTTCTGTAGGTCGATCTTCCCTTTGAAAGAAAGAAAACAAGTTCTTGTTCTTCTTGAGAGGTAGTTGACCTTCCATTTTCAATTTCTTAAAATTGAAAAAAAAAAAATCAATTGTAAATGATATTGCTCTAACGACAATCAAAATATAATTTAGTAAGCCGGCAAGACAATAAAAATAATTCATGATATCGGCAAGGCAATAACTACAATCATTATGTCGACAAGGCAACATTTCAACAAAACAATTTAGACAAGTAGGCGAAAACATTCAATTCAATATTTTGCCTGCAAGGCAATAAGCAGAGAGATGATCAACTTGACTTACTAGGTGTATTGAAGCTTTTGTTTTTCCTACGTGTCTGAAGAATTAATCCTATAGACACTTGACAAAATCCCCCGTTGACAATAAAGAAGAATTCCGCATTAGATTTTAGAAATAACTTTTTCTACATCAACAACCACAATCGATAAAGCCACAAATTTATTATTGAACCTCAATTGTTTTCAACTAAACCAAATAAACAAAAAAGTGCAAGTCGGTATAATAGTTTTACAGTCTATTTAAGGTAATTATATTCAAAACTTAACATCATGGCAATTAAACCAAGAAAAAATATATAAACACGGTAAGAACATAGGAATGTAATGTTCATCGATTGAAGTTGAACATTGGGACAATGGAATTTATAAACACAAGTAATGTAATTTTCATTAATTGAACAATGGAAGCACCGGCCCTGCTTAGGCAAAAAAACCCATTTGCAACAAATACAAAAACATGTCTCTAAGATCCAAAATCTCATAGAGATCACTTCTAATAAACAGATGCAGTCCGAATACAAAAAGGTCGTGCAATTGCATAATGTTCACTGCTTATCACTTTATTTAAATATAGTTGCTTTTATTTAATTGGTGCTTATTAAACATTTTGTTAGAGACAAGGTCTTAGTTTTCATTTTCAGTAAAGTTTAGTTCTAACTTCTAGAATTTTATAAAACATGATTAGGGTTTACGCTATTATTAGATTTCTTAGATTATTCAACAAAATACCGTGAGATTTTCTCCCTACTTTGCCTAATTTCTCGATATTCGTCAGAATCAACAAGCTTTACAGTCTTAATCATCTAATTTCCCTACATCATAAGCTACATATTAATTTGAATAAAGAAAAATACCTGACCTTGTTAACCATGGTAACAACAACTTCAAGAATCTCCCCCTTAAACGGTCAAAACACCACGCATTGGTACTTAACCAGGAAAGTAACAAATCCGGTACCAATATGGCTGGCGAAGACTTGAGTAATGGCGCCGAGGGAGTATTGGCAAATGGAAGTGAAAATGGTTGGACCGGCATTTTGAATAGAAATTACAAATTAGTTTTGGGTTTGAATTCAATCTTACATTTCAAGATTGATTCTGTTACATTTTGTTTGGGCCAAAGTCCGGAAAGGACTCTCCAATATTTTTTTTTATGGACATGGGCTGGCCTTATTAGTTAGTGGGCTTTCACAGAATTCAAAAGTGTGGTGATGACCTAAGTTTGAGTTATTCAACCATGCATTTCTTTATTACAATCTTGAGAAACTCTGTCCATCTCATCAGATATTTTAATCGGATACTCTCTGTTGATTGCGGATATCACATGAAAATAATACTCCAAATGATTATGACAGAAAGAATACCTCAAAATTTTAGATCTCAATACAAAATGTGTAACTTTTTACCAGCAAGCATTTTGTATATTATCTATCTAATTACAATTTCAACAAACAAGGATTCATGTTGATTTAAGTTGTTCTGTTATTAATGGTGACTTTCTTGTTCAGATGTTGAAAGATTTGAAGCACGCTTTCTGGCCATTTCAACTTAATCATACTAGAAGTCTGTTCCTAAGGGCAGCACAAGCTGCTCACTGCTCCAATGGATCCAACAACTCTAAAGAAAGGTTTTTACTGTATAATTTATACTTTGTTTATCTTCTAAAGAAGAATTCCCCATATAATCTGAGGTTTGAAAGGATTTTGTCTTTCTTTTCATTTTACTCTCTCGCATACTTCTCAAGTGTGTACACTTTCGGATGCAGTGCTGTTGAGATTGCATCTGCCAAGGCTGCTCAGCATAGGTTGCAACGAGGTGTTTGGACCAGTGTTCATTTTGGGGATATGAGACGTGCATTATCTGGTATATGAATGATCTGGTCTTGTAACTTTTATCACCAAGTTTTATTATTAACTTCATTAAAGGCACATAAGAAATGGTGAGTGATATATAGCCCCTGTTTGACAACCATTATTTGAAAACTCTATTTTTTACATACTCATTTTCAACCACACATTCACACAATAAAATATTCTGCATATATACCCAAAACCTTTTTTGTATTTTTTTTAACCACATATTCTCCTAAAAATCACTATTTGAAACTTTGTTTTTTTCAAATAATAGTTGTCAAACAGGGGCATAAATAAATGCTGTGAAGGTGTCTAATGCACAAATAGAAAGTTCCAGATAAATATTAAATGGACACTTTAAAAATTATCACTAGACAATGCCTACAATAAAGACTCCTTTCCATTCTCAATAAGCAAATCTATCCTTAACTCACAAATTTTCACGTTCAGTAGTAGTAGGCTTAATGGGTACTGTTATTTGAGAAGGAACTACCATAAATGCTCAACCTCCTTCCTTGTCATGTTGGCTTGGAAAGATATTATAAGTGAGACAGGGGTTAAGTTTGTATATATTACTTTATAGATCTAGTTATTAACATAACAGATGATTTCCTTTTGGAGTAATGGACTAAGATAAGTGATGGATATAAAACTTTATCTTCCTTTTCACAAAAATCATATATAGTAGTTATCGAAACACTTGATCTAAGATCTTAAATTGTTAGATATGCTACATATTTATCATTTAAATGTTATCTTCAACAAGCCCCCTCACGTGTATGCGGGATTAATTTATCCCTTATTACAGCCTTACACGTGCACAATTTTTAATGAATAGGTGGATGAGACTTGAATCTTGGATATTTGCCTACTTTGATATTATGTTGAACCACTTGATATAAAAGTTTAAGTGGTTAGTTATAACAATGTTTATCATTTAAATATTATTTTCAATAGTAGTATATATGTGCACAATTAGATTTGTAGAGGGAAGTGTTAAAAGTTGTTTTTATGCATAAAGCATAGTTGTCAACTTGTCACAATAAACCACCTGACTTCTGGTGCCCAGGACCGGCTATACTCTTAGGTTTGGGCAGGCTAAATATTATCATATGATTTTTCCTCATTTCTTAATGAATGAATATGAATTATTTAAAGTCTGCATATACACAATATTGGAAATTTCCTATTGCTTGGAGTACTATTATTTTTCAGTGAGCCTTACCAAAATTGCATATACATATGGATATATATTACTGTGAAAACATTGGGTATAGAACACAAATAAGGGGACAAAGAGAGCAAAACAAGAATAGAGAGTGGAATAGTGTGTAATGGTGAAATAAGGTTCGTAATGCTATATTTTTTTAAATTTCTCCTCATTTTTATCTCTCAAAGAAATGCTACCTAAGTGGTTGGCCACGTTGCTTAGGCAATGCATTAGGATATCACCCACTCTCTGATGTGACTTGGCCATTATTACGGATCCATTGTGAATGCATATAGTTCTTTATGCCCGGATTGTCAGAACAACACAATTAATAGATGCAATATGTAAGGTCTCCCAGAACTATTAATTCTTCCAGAATAAACTGTATGGATTATTTAATAAAAACACGGTAAAATCATATGCTTAAAAACAGTTTTTTGCTTTTGATCTTTGAGTCATAATGTTTATAAAGGATCTTTATTTCTGCATATACCACCTGTTTGCTGCATTCCTCCTCGTGAAAACATCTGATTACCCTTTAAAAATTTCTTTCTTGTTCTTATTGCCTTCGCATTTGATGATCACGCTCTTTAACAGCATGTGAGCGACTTATCCTACTCCAAACTGATCCAAAGGAACTAAGAGATTATGCTGTTCTTCTTTACCACTGCGGATTTTATGAGGAAACACTGCACTACCTCAAGTTGTACATGGATACTAAGGTAGAGTTTTCCTCTGTTGCACTTTGATGTATCAATTTCAATGTCTTATTTGTTTAATTAACGAATCATTAATCAATTGCAGAAATCCTCTACATTGGAGCAATCATCCCGTTCAACTAGTGACATGGAGGAAGATGCCGTGGAGAAACTAATGGATCGACTTAAACTCATTTTGATGGATGGTTGGTCTACCCACTCAGATAACAGAAATTTCATTTTCAACAATTCTGAACCATGGTAACCTCCGGCATCTAATCCACTGCTGTTCGATTGGAAAGTTTTGCACTGAATTCCTTGAGGAACTTATGATCATCATGAAGACACTGCTTATAAGTATATAATGTACAGACTTAAATTTAGCTTACGTCCCGTAATTTAGTTTCCATCGATGGATGGTTTTATCTCAATTTTTTCCAATACCACGACATAATTGTTTCGCTCTTGTTCTTAAGAACGGATAGCTTAAATGTCGAAAGTTTGAAGTAAGACATCTCTATCCAGTCCTGGAACCTGGATTATGCCACTTTGAAATGAACTTCTACATTCATTTATTTGTGCGTGCTCCATATTCGCATTTCTGGCTTTATTTTTATCTTTTTTGCCCTTTAAAAGCTTATCGTAATAGAATCTTTGCTGCAATAGAGTTTGATTTTGGGATGGGTTTATAGGGACTGTTCAATAAGGCTTTTGCTTTTGTTTGTTGTCGAAGAGTTTCTTTAGGTAACTCCTCTAAAGCTCTTATAGTCAGGCAAATTAAAATATGTTCAGAAATAGCTTCTTAATTTTCAAAGCAATTTTTTATTTTTCAAGTCTCGTCAAACAGTTTCATGGTTGAATGGGGATTGTCTTTTATGAAATTTTCTGTTGAGGGGAAAATATAATTTTCGATCTCGTGATGGTCGGATGTGATTTTCATGTGATACGGGGATGAAATGATTTGGTTTTGTTTCAACTACTCTATTAATAATAATACATAAATTTGAGTGAACAAATCAGTATCTAAGATCTACTTTGGCAAGGAGAATAGAAAATACAGCAGTAGATCAGAATCCAATTTGATCTAACCAATTAGTTAGAGTAAATGAAGAAGAATAAAGCTACATTGGTTGATAATGTATTTGACACTTCTATGTGGTAAAAATTTGGACACGTGTTGTGATGGTTGTGATCAAAATCAACAATGTAGATTTAGTTACATGGAAATGTGTAAACCTTAGTATAACCCATGATATACATGTAGCATAGTTGAAATCAAAAAATAAGACAACAAAAAACGCGTTCAAAGACACATTGATTCTAAGAAACTAAATTTTCAACACAACAATGGAGTGGAGCCTACGTTACATTAAGTAATAATATGAATGAGTGGCATCCATCAATGTGCTTTTTGGACAAATTAATGACATTAATTTACTCAACATTGTCAAAGGTTTCGCAGCATTAACAAATGCACCTTTGTCAGTTTCGTCCACAGCTAAACAAGACAAACAAAAACAATATTAAGGTGGGAACACTTGTGTTTTGTGCCCACCCACTCATTTTTATTCAATCAGTTGACATACTTTTGAAATGAAATTCTTGTGCTTACAAAAAATTCATGAAAAAATAAAAAAGTATAAATTTCGAGAGAGTCTGAAATAGGAGAAGAAAGATGACTAAATTCCTGTCACTCTCTCTCTTGACTAAGCATTATTGACAAAAAAATTTGAATCAACTTGACTCTATACATGAACCAGTATGTTAAACAAGTTAAATCCAATCCAAGCATCATTTGTTAGAAACTATATGTGCATTAGTTTTGATTTTGGAGCAAAATTCTGCTAGGTATAAAGACAATGCCTTGCTTCCATTGGAATCTGTATATTCTCCTCAACTTAAGGAACAAAAAAGTAGGGTCCAAAAAAAAAACTAACATTTTCTATTCTTCATTTACAATTGCAGCAGAACTGAATCATTAAACACATGTTCCTACAAGTTTCAAGTAGAGTCTTGTCTGAAGATTCTTAATATGAAATCCCGGAAACGCCTTGAATACTGGCTGGGGTCAACTGCAGATATTGAAGTTGGATCATAATGGAATGACTTGTATGCATGTTCAAGCTTCTTGCTAATATCATAATCTTGCAATATATCAATTATACCCAAGATCAAGATGACATCATAGTATTCCCCAGTTGGTTCCATAAAGAGCTCACTATCATTTCCTCTTGTCCCTAGTTCGGCCCGAGCTGGCATGTTCATACCTAATCTAATGGTAATGAAAAACAGCGTCATTAAGTCGAATAGCAAATTTAAAAGCATCTTATCTTACATAGCATTACATTCAGGATTTTTTTTTTTTACATTCAGGATATGTCAACTGATTGAAGCTAAAAAGTTTTCTGAAGGAATAAAGAAAATAATATTTAAGGATCACGCTGTCATGTTAACTTAAGTATCCTTTGTACTCAAACGTATCAACTGAATAGTAGAAAAAGGTTTGAGCTATGAACACCAATGTCAAATCGAATGTTTATAATATTTAATGAAAGAGTAGTGTTCAAAATTTTAATGAAGTTCACACTACATGGATTAGCATGTTTTATACCAGGTTAGGATCAAAATCTGACCTAGATAGTTCTGGAGATGCTTCTCCACTGACTTCTTCTCCATCCCCTACAAAATTTCACGTTCTTCCACTTAAGCAAATATTAAAAAGAAAAAGAAGTTAAACTTTTTTTATTATATTGCAGAAATCTAATGAATACTGCGTACTGAACACACTGAGAAAAAAAGGGATTTATAGAGATTAAATATATACCACTAAGACTTTGGACTTGGGAAATACTAGTCTCCGTTGTTAGTGGTTCCCCAGTACGTGATATTTGTATAAAGTGAATCCCGACCAAAAGACTGTAATCCATAATTCTCTCCTGCTCGAGAAAATTGCAGTCCCTGTCGACTTGCCTGCATAGGGAAAATCTCATCCTATGAAAGAAAATGTTAAGGATAATTATTTGTGCTGGATACATCATTGAATAGGCTGCTAGTTGAACTATTTTGAGATGCTGAGCCTTTTTCTATCAGGAAAATGTTATTAAATGTGAAATCATTTAGAAAGACAAATTTTATGATGAAATCATTAGGAAATAAAGAATTTTATGGATCACAGAAATTGCATATAGTTTATCAGTTAAGCAAACATGATAAGGAGTAAGAGTCATGCCAGTAAAAGAAGAAAGAATAGAGTCGAAATTGATCACCTGCAGAACTCTTGGAACCAAGATTTCTGCAATCGGAAGATATAATTCAGATCAAGATCCTTGAGAGTGGTTGTTGAATCAATTTCAGATTCAGGTTTGTCAGTTAAACGACCCTGTGAAGAACCTTTCAAGTCAAAACGTCGATGAATGGCATACTCGGTGCAAAACAAATTTCCCATTATAACAAACCGCACCTGCTCATAAAGAAAATCCACAATTATAAAAACAGAGACATTATTATCACGATTAAAAGTGTATTGATTAAAGAAATGACAGAGTCTACTAATCATTTTAACTACCTTCTTGTGTGCATGTCCACTCATCTTCACACAATGAAGGCCGAAAAATTTGGTTACCAAGGTATTCTCAAAGGCTCGTACGTGATTGTAATAAGCTTGAAGCATTCTTAACAACACCTACAATTATATTATTGAGCAGAATTAGGATGCTATATAGTTGAAGACAGAATACAGCAATTATTTCCAAGATTGTCTTTTCGCTGTAATTCATGAACATAAACAGAATTTTAATGTTCATTGTTTCATCATCAATTTGTCCAAATAACTTGAAAGAAATGGTAAATCATACATTATTTTCGTTGATATTTTAGTCATTAGCAACTGATATATAAATATTTTTCATGCCAGCACAAATTCAAGTTTGAGCAATTTTTAAATTCTAGAGTGACATTGACAAAAATTCATCGTACTGCGAAATTTGATATAGGAACTTACTTTTACTTCTGACTTCTTCATGGTCTTAATCATGTATTTGTCATCATTGGTCGAGTAAAAGAAGCTTCCACTTTTTCCAGGAGATGAGAGCAGCCGAAGGGCATCATCTCCACATATGGATATCATGTAATCAGCTGGATCCACCTTAAACAATTTTCTTAATGTCCTGAAAACAGAATCATTGTGTCGAATCAGGCCATTTGGTGCACATGGACAAGGCATTATCAGAAATAAGAGTTCCTGTTAACACTACGTCACACATGTTTCTATGTCTGACCTGAAAACTAAGGGGCAGTAATCCTTCCATTTGAACGCACATGATTGGTGAGGCGGAGTATGTTTTGATCCTTGCGGGGGAAATCGCGTCCATATTTTCTCCTTGGGATTAAAAGCTGTATCTCTCAGATCAAGGGATGTAGCTGGAGTAGGTCTTCCTACGGAATGTCTAATTGATGGAACCAAATGAGATAAAAACAGAAATATAGATCTAGCAACATATCACGAAGAACACAATTAAGACGAATATAACTGAAATCACACCATCTGGAAGCAAATTAGTATGAAGAGTTTATAATAACTCAATTGGTGCTACCTCCACTTATTGTCATATATTCTCTAAATCATTTTAGTATAAGCCCGCACATCCATCTTAGCATCCTCATTTCCATATTGTCCTTTCAACAGTCCAACAGTTAGTACAATCATAACAGGTTCAAAAATGTTCCATAAAACTAGCCTTTTAACATTATGAGGATTTCTTATCACAGAATTCCTACAGCACTTTCTCTAACCACTCTAATCCTATGCAGAACAAGATTACACGTCGAGAAATAACACGCATCATTTACATGTAGTGAACAACCTATATATGAATCCAAACCATGAATGCAGTTAATCTATTCAAACAAAAGTCATTTTTCCTTTTACCAAAATGAGAATTAAGAGCCAGAATCCATTAAAAACAATTTTATACCTTATTCCAAGCTGCAAATTAAGCATGAGCTCATAATTCTTATGCCCTTTGGAAATTGTCTCTCCCTGCATTTTGGTTGGCTTTCCAATGATGTCATCGTCGTCCACATGGGCAACCGACATTGCCGTAAATATGCTGTTTGCCCTTTTCTTTGCACCAGCTTGTGATTTCTTCACCTTGATAATGCTACTCAGTTTTTTGTTCATTCTTCTGTCTCTCTGCACCTCAGAATCCCATAATTTGATTTTTTCTCATCAACTCAAATCATAAACCTTCCTTTTTACCAAGAACG